CACCAGATTTAAATATTCATGCATTTATTTATTCGTATTTTTATTGTTGGTGATAATGTTATTATTTGTTTTATTATTTCAGGTTTATTTGACCGGGTCAATGCACATCAATAATACTAGTTCAATGTGCCAGAATTAGCCAGAAGGCAATTTTGCATCCCTGGACTGATGGTAAAATTATGACCCTAAAAATATAAAAGAAATAATAATACTTACATACTCCAAAATGCATATGAATGTTTTTAGTAATAATACAATTTCAGTCAAGTCACCTTTATTTATAAAGCACTTTATAGAGTACAGATTGATTGAAAGCAGCTTTACAGCGATGAACAGGAAAGTAAGATGTTGGGCCACCACGTGCTGCCAGCACAGCTTCAGTGCCGTTCTTCCACGAGATATTCCTGCGTTTGGTGTGTGATGATGCTAGTGGAGAGCGCTGTCTAACACCTCAGTCCAAAATCTGCCATAAAGGTGTTCAACTGGGTTGAGATCTGCTCACTGCAAAGATCATTTTTATATTAAAGCATTGGGTGACCCCTCATACCTATGGATGGGGGCATTGTCATTCAGGAAGAGACCACTCCTATCAGGACAGAAATGCCTCATCAAGTGATATATACGCATGTATAAAGATTCAGAGAGTAGCACAATGTCACAACTTAAAGCAAAAGAAAAAAGTCCCCTTTTAACACCAATCATTTAAATAACTAAAATAATGGTTTCAACCAGCAACAAATGAAAAACAATAATAAATCCAGCAACAGAGAGAGAGGATGCATCTACGGTACACATATCGTATCGCAGGCTCGTGTGGGCCTAAGCTGTTTCCACCACGGGAAGATGGTGAAACCAAACAGTTTGTGAAGAACTTGCGTTAGGTTTTCTGCAGGACGATTTGGCTAGTAGTTTGAAAAAAAAAAAAGTGCTATAGAACGAGTTATTAATTTATTGATTGTAAAATAAAAAGTGAATAAATCCAATAGTCATTCAAATAGATTAATTTACAGTTGATTTATTCCTTGATTCCTTCATTTTTATGTCCTAATATGCGATATATTTCAATGTTGTCAATCTACAATCTCATTATTCAGTTGACAAGTCCCAATGAAGTGGCTTGATAAGAGCCGTTTTTTTATGTAGCATTTATAAATAAAATGTGGAGGTTGTCTAATTCACAGTTTGGGTACAGTATGATTCCTTGCTGTGCACAAAAACAAAACTCAAGTACTTTTTTGTAGTTATGCGTAAGCATGATTTGGGGCTGCACAGTCTTTCAGAAAGCTGCAGTGATCCTCTGTATGTGTGTGTAGGCAGGGAGCGATGGTCAGAGCATTGGGAACTGCCCGTTCTCTCAGCGGCTCTTCATGGTCCTGTGGCTGAAAGGCGTGACCTTTAATGTGACCACCGTGGACATGAAGAGGTGGGTGTTTCTGTGCATTCATAAATCTAATGCAGTTGCATATACAGTAATTCAAGTAAGTGAAACCTAGAATGTTACCGTTTCAGACCAGTAGTATGCTACATTGTATTGACACTGTATTCCAAAAATAAAAACTGGTGGTCCAATCAAAAAAAGACATGTCCATTCACACTGGAAAATGGAAGGTCAAGTTAAGCGCATTGCATTGTGGGATCTCCAACAGTGTGCTTTCAGAGCACTGCACAGAATGCATGTAGCATTTTGCAAAAGTAGCATCTGGAAAACAAGTGGTGTGCTATTCCTCTTTCTCTGTTTTGTGAGTAGGAAGCCAGACATTCTTAAAGACCTGGCTCCTGGGGCTCAGCCTCCTTTCCTGCTGTACGGCACAGAGGTGAAGACGGACACCAACAAGATAGAAGAGTTCCTGGAGGAAAGCCTCTGCCCTCCTAAGTAACTCTCTTCATCAACACATGCTTTATTTCCCATTGTTTGTGTTTGTATTCCATTCCTACATTTCACAGCTGTCACGTTTACCATATCCACTCGTCCTCCTCCTCTTCTTCATCGCTCTATCCACCACAGATACCCACGGCTGGCAGCTCGCAATCCTGAATCGAACACCGCAGGTCTGGATGTGTTCTCAAAGTTCTCCGCCTACATTAAGAATTCGAACCCGCAGATGAACGACAGTGAGTGCAAGAGTCTTTTAGATTTGTTACAAAGATTGTTAAGTGGCCTGAGGTCTTGGCCGCTTGAGAGCACATGTATGCATCAGCATGCAAGACTGTCCAAGGTCTGTAAAGCTCAGTGCTAAATCCACACACATTTAATTGTGTTTCATAGGTACTGCAGCAGTGCTGATATGATGTCGTGCTCTGCAGTCTCCTTTTTAAATACATAATTCAACATACAATACAAATATTCAATCTACTCAGTTTTACTGCAACGATGCAATCCTGCCGATTTAAAAAGTTGTGTTTTTTTCATTCAGCTAAGAGGTGACAACATGACATGTTGATATTGTATTGGTCACTTATCTTGAAGCGATGTGAATTCATAGCTCAGTTCACAACATACTGGAAAGCAGCCAAATTCACACGAGTTTTCGTCTCCCGAATTCACATGAATATAAATGGAGGTCAATGGAACAAAAAGTGTATTGTGACTGGCCTTGAGTGTGAGACAACAGAGAGAAACTGTTTGATTGGTGATTGAGTTTTGTAATTGATTGATTGTGTTGCATCACATTTTCATTCAGCACGTCTGCTGTTTTTTTCCACAATGGTCTAAACAGATACATCTCATGTGAATATCAGATCCATGTTGGTGTGAACAGGCCACTGCCATAGAAAATTATGGTTTTACAGGCTTTTAAAAATAGGACATGCCCCTACTCGAGCAGCAAATACACGTCATCACAGGAAAAGGAAATTGCGCCTGTCAGGTCATTTTGTGGGTTCTTGATTAACCGTTTGCTCGTGCAGATCTGGAGAAGGGTTTGCTGAAGGCCCTGAAGAAGCTGGATGACTACCTGAGCTCTCCTCTGCCGGACGAGATCGACGAGAACAGCGCTGACGATGTCACTTCCTCCTCCCGCCCCTTCCTGGACGGTCAGGAGCTCACTCTGGCCGACTGCAACCTGCTGCCCAAGCTCCACATCGTCAAAGTGAGTCAGACAGAGCGACGCCTAAGCAAACGAGCTGACGAATGCAATGCTTAGCTTCTCTTTTCCCCGCTCTCAGGTAGTGTGTCAGAAGTTTCGAGGTTTCTCCATCCCTCGCGCGCTGACGTCTCTGTGGCGATACCTGGACGTGGCGTATGCCCGAGAGGAGTTCTCCTCCACCTGTCCCAGCGATGAGGAGATACACGTGGCCTACTCCTCCGTCGCGAAGGCGCTCAAATAGAAAGAAGGAAACAAACACACACACACACACAGTCACACACTCATGTGCGTTATTACCAATTCTCTTTCCAGATTGTCCTAGTGTTTCAATTGGTTCCTGTATGTTCCTGAGGTTGTTTGCACTGGCTGAGGTCTCACTTTTCAACTAAACGTAGTCTCATGCTGCCTTCACATGCTCTCGGAATTATCGCAAATACGAGTTTCCTAGAAAAAGTGAGCATGAATGCCATTTGATGTCATGTTTACCAGTGGGAAGTTCGGAAATATCTTTAATCTTTAATCTTGTCTTGTCATTAAAGTAGTAGGTTATTTAAATATGAATAATCCTTTGAAGCATATTGTACATTTTATACACAGCGAAAATAGCATGTGTTTCACCAATATTCTAGAATAGAATAGAATAGATAGTGCGGTAAAACTATACAGTGGGAAACTATTTCCATTTCAGTCTGAAAGCAACCTTAACTTGTCTACATTATGCCTTTGTTGTGAATGTGATTATAAACAATGGCATCCTCAATTAATTCCGACAACAAAGCACCTGAACACAACAAGCTCGTAATCACGACTTAAGAAGAGGAAATTATCAGATTTCCAATAGCACGTGAAGGCAGCATTATAGTTCATATTTCTTTAAAGCAGCTGAACTGTAAGGTCAAGGCCATTTCTGTGGTTATACACATCGGCAGCCTGCAGCGATACATTACAAAATATCATCAAATGTTTTACAGGCAGCAATAGTGGTTGTGTTTCAGTATTTTTCACTGGTTTATGGACGAGTGCTTTGCTAGCAGTTACGAACAGGATGTTGTTGCCTCATTCCTCCCATTACTGTCCCTCCCTCTCGCTGTGTCATAGAGTCGGTAATGACAGCTTTTCGCTCATGGCTGCTTTGGTCACGTACATTTCATAAACTGTTTTTCAAGCTGCTCTTTACATTCCATTGACTCATATGTTACAAAATCATGGAGGTATCATAAAAGTACTCCAAAGGAATCATGTGTAAAGTTTCATACTTTATGCGAGAAGTAAAAACTGAAACTCTTTTCAATCAGTTACTGGCCCCAATCGACAGTCTCATCTCATAGCTATATGATATGATGTACTGTAGAATATTCTTCCATCTCTAATTATGACTGTCGACGTCCACATTGAAAACACTCTTATTTATTGCCTGGAGAGAGTTATGAAATACATGCACATTTGTTGTCTTCTGAAAAAGAGGAAACCAGTGACAGTAACAACTGCTGCCTTTTTTAAGTTGATTCAGCCTGTTTCTAAGATGACCTTACCAAACTATTTTTATATATAGTGTCATGCTTTATCCCCAGTCCTCTTCCCAGGCACTTCTGTTTTCACTTCCTCTTAACCACTCAATGGTCATTTCCAAATCTTACTCTGCACACAAATGGACAACACAGCATCAGTGCAAATATTGATTAGTGAGGATTTTATTGATTAGAGGGATGTTACAACAAAGTCATTTTCTTCCTGCATTTCTAAAATTGTTATTCAGCAATACAGTTTATAATAAAGTTAAAATAAAAAATTGAAATGTTGAGTACATTGTTTCTTGATCCTTCATGTTTAGATAGTTCAGGTTTAATATAATATATATTGTTTAATTAAATTAATTCAAAGAGTAAAAAGATTTATTTTAAAAAATCTTGAAAAATAAGTAAAAAAAAGAGCAGAAAATATTGTGTTGTGCTCTACAGGAATGGAACAGCCTCTGGAACACAGCCTGTTCATATGAAACAATATGCATTTATGTTTCTAGAATTAATAAAAATGACAAAAAAGTTACTGTCATTAGTATTTACAGCAAAAAATAAAGCAAATTAGCTGTTAGATTTAGCAGTTGTGTGGGTTTAACCATTTATATTTAGAAGAATAGTTTCAGTATTTTGAGCATACATGACTCATTCTCATGAGTCTTAACTCACTGTCTGTGTGTGAGTGTGTGTGTGTGTGTATACGTGGTTGCAGGCACTTCCCTTCAAGCATGGCGTTTGCAAGAGAGTGCGTAGATGGACTTACAGTTTAAGTCTTGTGTGCATGTCAAATTTGAGCAGATGCATTGGTTTTTAAACAGACGGTGTTGGTATGTCGTGGTGTTTCTGAATCTCAGACTTTGCTGATGGTGTTGTAGCACCTCCTGTGAGAGTAAGAGCTGCTCATCCCAGCTGGAGCAGGAGGGCCAGACCGCAGAGTCTCAGCACTGCTCCGGTCCAGCGGGGGGAGCTGATGGGCGCAGCAGTGTTGCAGAGATCCGTGTCACAGCACTCATTGGTGTAGTTGAAGTTTATTCCTGCCGCGTGTTTCTGTCCGCTCAGGTCACACTGTAATGGCAGGGCACAGCTCCGCTCGTACAGGACAATGGACATTGACCCTGGACACACACAAACATCATATCTCAATGCTGATGCAGGGCGTCCCAATCAAGGGGCTAAGATCACAGTGTGCCATTCACTACAGTTTCAGCACCCGATAGTATTTAACATTGCTGATGATCTGGTTTTGCACCAACAAAATATCCACAAGGATGAGTTACCAACAAAAAAAAAACTGCAAGAGGTCATGCAAACATATTTCAGCAAACATGAAGCTCAATGCCACATGTACGTGACACAGTTCCACCAGAACTACTCGTGGTGTGAATTTACAAATGCTTCTTGGGTGACAGCTGAGTTGTAAATTACTGTCTGACTTCACAAACCTACTGTGCCTATTCAGGCAGTATAAGATTGTGGTCGCAGCTCATGTTGTGATTGTATAGCCAGAGCGGAACTAAATTCTTTCCACCACCACAAATTGACTTATAGTATTATTTTCTTAATAAATGCAGTTGAGATAAATTCTGAAATACTTTTTATTACAATACTTATGACCTAATTTCAGATCTTGTTTGTATGTTTGTTTCGATACTGAAATTAACATTTATAAATTAATCTTTTCAATGTTACTTGCCTGTTAAATGTCATACAGATCATATTTTTTTTAAACTGATCTACTTTGTCCCCTGAGCATCATGTAGCCTTTTAGTAAGAAAAGTGTGTGTGTAAACAGACACAACGTCCAGAAGTTCCAGGATTACAGGTCTTTTGCCAGTCCATTGTAAAACAAAGTTTCCAGGCTGTTACAATGTGTGCTGCTTGTGAGCTTTGTGACACTGAATCTCAAAAAGACATTCAGGTGTTTCATTTGAGGCAGTCATTATCAAGTAAACAAGCCACATTCTAGTCAACAGCACATAGGAAAAAACTGCTGTATCATTATTTGAACAAGCTACAACATGCTGCATGCTGGACTATTATTGTGCCATCAACAGCCACGGGCTTTCCTGCCACACACACCTGATGAGAAATAAATCACCTGTCGCTTATCATTTTACATATGTTTCAGATCATCTATTTCATATGGCTCGAATGGCAATAAAGTGACAATATGTACCCGACTTTGTTGATCAGGGACGTGCACAGACATTTTGAGGGGCAGGGGCTCACGTGAAAAAAAGGACACTTCTCTTGTTTATTTTAATTAGTTTCTAAACAAAACATTAAATATATTAACACAACTCTGACTTACTTACCAATTTATTTTAATTCCCTCACACTCACCCAATTGTTTCATGTTGTTTCATTTTTCAACAGATGTCTACAAAATAATCAGTTCACAATGGTGTTATAATTACACTTACTGTACCATGCACACACACACACAAACTGATGGTGACAAGAACTTTGTTTCACATTTAAGGGGGGCTGTTAAGATCTATCAGAATACAACATACTAATAGAATGGATAGTTATTAGATGAGGAGCCTGAGATCAAGATTATGAAGTTACTGTTTAAGGCAGGACACTTCATGTACTGTTCAATTTTGAGATTTTGGTCTATTTTGCTTCCATGTCTTCTTTTGCTCTAATGGAAAGGAAATTTCCAAAATACACATTGAGGTGTTTGTTTTAAGCCCTCGTCTGTTTGCTTCTGTAGATTACTTTTAAATTAACCAAAACCATCTATCTGCATGTTTAAACATAACATTTCAAGGGAAAAGATGCAAGTCATTAACTAATAACTGGGGAGGTTCTGTGGTGATATGCTTTAGTTATTTTGTTTATCCTATTCATCTGCAAAGCCTTGCATTTTAATTACTTAACAGCTAATTTGCATATCAATGTGGCTATTCTGATGACGTTATTAATTTTACTGTATTCAGCTGTCGTTTCTCCATTAAGTTAACCTGTATGCCAATGATATATTGCCTTAGCTAAGCTTTAGCTAATTTATTACATGGTAGCTCATGAGTCATGCACTCTCAAAAAGGATTAATTAATAAAACATTTTTTGTGTTATGTCCATTTTAACACATTTTGTGTAATTTTAAGTTGATCATGTGTAAAAAGAAAGAGAGAGAGAGAGAAACAACACAATATGTGTTAACTATCATCCGATCACATTGCTGCCTATGTCACTCCACAAGCTCACTCCTCTTTTTTCATCGGTGGATGACCTAGATGCACTCATGTCAGGTATATGGATTTCCCTGCTAGAAATGTAATGTTCCCAGAGCATTCTCAGAGCATCCCGCTGGTGTCAATGACGTTCCCAAAACGTTTCCCGAGATGCTCATGATGTGGAGTTCTTTAAAGGGTTGGGGGACGTTATTTGGAGGACCTTCAGGGATCAACACTGTTCAGAGTGTATTTGGTCCCACAATACAGAGTTTTAAAGTAACACTGAAGCAGAGTTGAACTTAATGAGAATGTTAACAAGCAGAATTACTGAAGGAATGGAGAGTGAAACCGATATTTTGAAATAACCGGGTCCCAGAGTGGATAAATCTGAAAACGCCGCCCTTGTGTTTTTGTGTGGACAGCGAATCCGTATATTTTCTGAAACGATCATGTATATTGATTATCTGAGTTTTCCAGCATTCGGTTTTGCTCCTTTGGCCATTATATCACAGACTCAACTCGTCTCACTCGACACCACCATCGTCCCGCACAAGACCCGGCTTTCCTCGAGCTTTGGGTCGCAGTGGCAGGCCTCAAATGAGCCTGGGCCGTGCCCCAGTTTTCATCGCAGCAAAACCTCATTCACTTCCCGCTTCGGCTCAACTTTTCACCGCGGCTCTTCCGGTCGCAGCGCCACATGTAGCTGGGCCTCCAGCTCTCGTAGCAGTCGCTAGCGCGAGGCTGCCTCCGCTAGCAGGCGCAGGCCGTGTTGCAATTACATTTTTAGGTAAAGTCGCTAAAGGTAGGTAGTTTGTTGTTAAAAGTTGTTAAACGACGTGGTGACACTATAGATGTTGATGTCATTTTTGTAACTGACGCAAAACTGCATAGAACACAATGAAATTACTCAAATTTTCTATATTAATTTTCACTAGCACTTTACCTGTATTTTAAATTACACATTGTACTCGGATAGACAGATAAGATGAAAAATATTTATTTTCGTGAAAATAAGTTCAACAGTGTACAATTATAGGTGCAAACTAACAACTAAGGCGTATCATAAAGAAACTATTAATATTATTATTGAACAAGTACAACTAGCAACCTAATTCGCATGCGTTGTGCATACTGCTAGGCACATCTTTCCAAGTCTCTTCTCTGCACAGGGTACCACTCACTTCATAACGCTCGTACACTCGACGCAATGTTCATACTGGCTTTTTTTGGTTTCCTGAGATGCTTGGAATTCACAATAACTTATATTCAACCCCAAACTCCATCCAACTGTCTCTGACCTTTCCGTGCTCGACAGCGAAACTATCTCCTATTTCATCAAACAAAGTAAATCAGATCAGGAAAAGGAGTTCACCACGTCTAAATTTTTAACCTCCCGTCACCAATCCAACCGTATCAGGCCCTTTTGCTTACCTCCAATTCAGAAGCTCTCAGTCTACATCCCCTCTTGACCCTCTTTTTGTCGATGAATGTAACCACCCCGTCACACGTTTTTGGTTTCAAAAACATCTAAAACTCACCCTCGTCCAACCAGGCATACCCGTAGAAAGATTTTCCAGCCACTCCCGAATCGGGGCAGCAATTACAGCAGCTCAAAAAGGCCTCTCACAGCAGCAGATCCAAGCTCTCGGTCGATGGTCATCTGACGCCTTCAAGAGCAATAGCAGGACCAATAATTTTCACACAGAGAAAGCCCATCTAATTCTGATCAGTTAAATTAAATTTGATGCTGCCGCTGCAATGCCCTGCTTAATTTGATACTGTCACAGCAGTGCCCGCTCCATTTGATACTGCCGCTGCAGTGCCCCGCTCATTTGATAC